TTAAATGTGATATGCGATTTTTGAAGTATTTGTTCAGTCGACGTGGAGGCTGGTTTTGCGATGAGAAGTCCAGAATTGCACGAAAATTGCGTCAAATTTACAATCTATGAAATGTGTTTTTGTCACTCGGTAAAGATCTATATGTTAAGTGTATGCTACATCGAATGTATAAGCAGATTAAAAAATCCAACTGAGGCAGATTTTTTAACCTGCTTATACACTCGATGTAGCATACGCTTAACATATAAATCTACAATCGTTTTTATCATTCTACGTCCGCCGTATTGAATAGCCAGGTTCCTCGTTGGCTTGGAAAAACCGCTGCTAGTCACCAGTTTCTATTGAAGACACACTCTTGTTAAACCGAGCGAACCCCGTTTAAAGTTTAAGAGACTAGAAAGCAAACCGCGCGAGGCCTAGGACCAAAATTGTTCGCGGGAAATCTTGRAAGTTGTTGTTGGCGCGGATATTCATGGCATATTTAATGGCAGACGATAAATGATGAAAACGTTTATACAAGCTCAATGACTAAGGCGATTCTGGACTTGTAAAACTATAACGCAACTATAAGGCGGTCATGACCTAGTTTTGAGTGCGATTGCACGCGATGTTAAGGAACACAGCAGTGTAGTACGAGTTCGAAAATGATACATTTTACCGCGTCTCTCTGATTGTTAATATTTCATTATTTAATCCCCCCCGCATTCATTTCAGTTCGTTTTTTCTCTTAGCGTACCTTTGAAATGCATTTCTTCTACAGACATTTACAATTTCGGCTGTCAAAAGAATCGCGTAGTCAGATTTGAAAACGACAGGCATTTTAAGGGAAGACTATTACTGCCCGCTATGGGAAACACATACTAAAAATTGAAAATTATGTTAAGGAAGAAATAATTTGAAGTTTATTTTAATTTGGAGCAAGATAACAACTTTAAAAAAAATAAAGTTCACTTTATAAGACAAAATCTTTTCTTTAAGGCTTTTAGAAATCGCCTATAACTATAGTGGTTTCAAATGGTTTCTCATCACACTGCCCAAAATGACTCGTTTTAATGTCTGCGCCCGCGATATTTATGAAAGCGCTCGCGCATCTCGGAAATTGTCTATTGGTACGTGTCTGTTCAATGCGTATGCTCTGTATCTAAAACACATTTCAGCTTGTCTGAGTTAGCAACAGTAACTAGTGAGGTATAGTGTAATGAATTCGGAAATGGGGAGTTTAGATGATTAAGAGCGACTTTCTGTAAGGATCGACCAAACATCGGCACAAGTCAAGAAATCGATTTCGCTCATATTTGGTTTTTAGATAGCCCTTAGTGTAAAATAAATCGAGGTGTTGTTAGTTTTGAAAAAAACATTTTTTCCCCACGAAATTTACGAAAATAGATTTCGCCCAAATGCAGGGGGAAAATGACCG